CATAGCAGTCTATGCACAAATCATGGATTAGGGTATTGGGTTCTTTTGTCGTTTTCGGTTGGTTCACTTTAAAATCATTGTATCCGTTCCAATGCTTCCAACATTAATATATATCGAATTTCCACGTACGACCACCATTCAGCCATTCCAACAGGTGCAGTGATCCCATCTTTTCTACGCTCTGTTCCATCATACACGTCTAGATTCATAAAAAGATCGAAACCTCGCAATATACCCGTAACAAATCGTCCACCATTCAACTTAAATCCAATCTTTATCCATAAACTTCTTTAATTCTAGTGGATGGGCTTTGCTCATGTTGATAATGCGCGATACAGATTACAGATACCGAAACATACAACGCGTAGCATTCACTCGGTGTCCACCAAAGCGTAAGACTTGATACATGCGTGATGAAAAGAATCGACATTTGTATGTAGATGGCCAGACAATCACGCTAAAATCACAAAACATACTTTAGCCCAAATAAAATGCTGAAATTTTTAAAAGTCTGCTTATAACTCATTTGTGGGCGGGCCGCAGTAAACAGACTAGCGTGTCGCGCAGCTCTGTCTTACACCTACTTCGTGGCGGTATTCTTAAATACGGTTTCCTAATACTCCAACTGTCAAACTGTACTTGCTTCCAATTCCAAATCCTCATCCATCTAATTTGATGCAGGCTATAAGCCATTAAATGGCTGTCGTCTGCACATGTCGCTATTTCAATTGAAATATCACTCTGGAATAGCAGCCAGTGGATACGTAAGGAGCTACTGATGCCACGCATATGTTCGCACTTGAAGTCAATTATAAAATTGGCAAAATACATCTCATTAATTCTGTTCTAGCAAGGTATATAAATAAAGATGTATAAACATATTTGCCGTCAGATTCCCCAGGATAAAACTAAATTTTAGGAGATTTGAGGCTTTAATTGTACGCGGTCCGAAGGCCACCCAAGCGCGCAACGTCCGTGGCGATATCAATGGGTTTTCTGTCCACTGCGAAGTAATCGATAGTAGGAGGATACGATTTACATGTTTATCCCGGGGGAAATGAAAAGTCGATAATACGGCTTAATCGTATCGCAAACCACGGCCTTCAGTTGCCAGTCCATGTCGGATGTGGACAATCATGCTAGCGACATACCTTTACTCCGGGTGTGTTCACAGCGTGGTTTTAGACGACTCATCCTACTCAACTCTAAAATGAGTGTTCCAGCACTGTACCAGACTTTTAGGATGGAGTCGTAATCTGCCAAGAGTCCTAGCTACACACTGTCTTTCCCCGTTGCCCAGATAAATATGAAAATCCTATCCCAAAACTTGTTTGTGAGACTGACACAATGTATATTTAGAAGTGTCATACCTTAAAATATCTCTACACTGGAGCAGAATAAAATGAATCAAAACAACTCAATACAGGAGGTGCATGCCCTTCCTTTATAATAAATATATAATTATGTATATATCCTATAAACTAATAAAATCATATTTAATTACCACTGGAAGCAATACAAGTATACAATGTGATCTGCGTGACACAGTCGAGAATCGAAGAACAAAATTTCCCAGCATGGGGGGACAATGAATAATAAAGTCACATATTCACGAATGGTGGACATGAATCTTTCGTAGCCCAATAATGAATCAAAAAATAGTTTTGAGAGTGTGACTAATAACAAATACGCAAAACTGTGTGGACGTATCCCATATACATATGAAATCATTCAGACATGCATTACCATTTCAAACATTTATACTATAGATGTGGTCATGTGGATATCACATCTGCACAGTTAAATGCAAAATTTCAATATTAATGCTTCAAACTAATTAGAATAATTTAAAACAAAATTCAACCATGCTATTCTTTTTTATCGCAACATCTGCACTTCAGGTAACAAAAAATCAAAACCAAGATATTCAAGGCAATCTTTCAAATGTTCCAAAGTGTATGGCTAGTAATTTCATCACCTAATTTATGCCAAGATTATTTTCTCGGTTATGAAAAAGTCCTGCAATTTGAATTTTCAAGAAATTTTTCTTAAGATAATTTAGTCATTGAAAATTGTATAAAAAGTAAATGGCATATGTTATGAGGAAAACTTTTTTGATTAGGGTACAAATAAGTTTTGATACATGTGAGCAATTTCTGTGTAATTTAAACACAAATGAGCATTATTGAAAATGTCATGCTTTTTTGCTCCAATTTAAAACAACTTGCTTTTATCATCCTAATTCTGTTTGCCAAAAAAGCTTATATTTAGATTGATCTATTTCAACCAGGGATGACTATATCATTTTGATAACAATCTAAACCACAAATCCAATACCAACGATGAGTTACATCAAAATTCCAATGTTTAATGATGTATACTAAGTGAAATAGGTTTAAGTCTGGGACAATTTAGCTATTCCCTTCTAAAAATATAATACAGTAAAATAATATAGGCTTCAGCAAATAAGTAAATTAAGCTTAAATAAGCAAAAGCTAGCTTTGAGCTCGAAAACAAAAGAATTCAATCAAAAAACGATTCCAAATTCTCATTATCGGACAATCTATACAAAATCATTGTATCCGTTCCAATGCTTCCAACATTAATATATATCGAATTTCCACGTACGACCACCATTCAGCCATTCCAACAGGTGCAGTGATCCCATCTTTTCTACGCTCTGTTCCATCATACACGTCTAGATTCATAAAAAGATCGAAACCTCGCAATATACCCGTAACAAATCGTCCACCATTCAACTTTAAATCCAATCTTTTATCCATAAACTTCTTTAATTCTAGTGGATGGGCTTTGCTCATGTTGATAATGCGCGATACAGATTACAGATACCGAAACATACAACGCGTAGCATTCACGTCGATGTCACAAAGCGTAAGACTTGATACATGCGTGATGAAAAGAATCGACATTTGTATGTAGATGGCCAAGACAATCACGCTAAAATCACAAAACATACTTTAGCCCAAATAAAATGCTGAAATTTTTAAAAGTCTGCTTATAACTCATTTGTGGGCGGGCCGCAGTAAACAGACTAGCGTGTCGCGCAGCTCTGTCTTACACCTACTTCGTGGCGGTATTCTTAAATACGGTTTCCTAATACTCCAACTGTCAAACTGTACTTGCTTCCAATTCCAAATCCTCATCCATCTAATTTGATGCAGGCTATAAGCCATTAAATGGCTGTCGTCTGCACATGTCGCTATTTCAATTGAAATATCACTCTGGAATAGCAGCCAGTGGATACGTAAGGAGCTACTGATGCCACGCATATGTTCGCACTTGAAGCCAATTATAAAATTGGCAAAATACATCTCATTAATTCTGTTCTAGCAAGGTATATAAATAAAGATGTATAAACATATTTGCCGTCAGATTCCCCAGGATAAAACTAAATTTTAGGAGATTTGAGGCTTTAATTGTACGCGCGGTCCGAAGGCCACCCAAAGCGCGCAACGTCCGTGGCGATATCAATGGGTTTTCTGTCCACTGCGAAGTAATCGATAGTAGGAGGATACGATTTACATGTTTATCCCGGGGGAAATGAAAAGTCGATAATACGGCTTAATCGTATCGCAAACACGGCCTTCAGTTGCCAGTCCATGTCGGATGTGGACAATCATGCTAGCGACATACCTTTACTCGGGTGTGTTCACAGCGTGGTTTTAGACGACTCATCCTACTCAACTCTAAAATGAGTGTTCCAGCACTGTACCAGACTTTTAGGATGGAGTCGTAATCTGCCAAGAGTCCTAGCTACACACTGTCTTTCCCCGTTGCCCAGATAAATATGAAATCCTATCCCAAAACTTGTTTGTGAGACTGACACAATGTATATTTAGAAGTGTCATACCTTAAAAATATCTCTACACACTGGAGCAGAATAAAATGAATCAAAACAACTCATACAGGAGGTGCATGCCCTTCCTTTATAATGAATATATAATTATGTATATATCCTATAAACTAATAAATCATATTTAATTACCACTGGAAAGCAATACAAGTATACAATGTGATCTGCGTGACACAGTCGAGAATCGAAGAACAAACATTTCCAGCAGCATGGGGGAAATGAATAATAAAGTCAACATATTCACGAATGGTGGACATGAATCTTTCGTAGCCCAATAATGAATCAAAAATAGTTTTGAGAGTGTGACTAATAACAAATACGCAAAACTGTGTGGACGTATCCCATATACATATGAAATCATTCAGACATGCATTACCATTTCAAACATTTATACTATAGATGTGGTCATGTGGATATCACATCTGCACAGTTAAATGCAAAATTTCAATATTAATGCTTCAAACTAATTAGAATAATTTAAAACAAAATTCAACCATGCTATTCTTTTTTATCGCAACATCTGCACTTCAGGTAACAAAAAATCAAAACCAAGATATTCAAGGCAATCTTTCAAATGTTCCAAAGTGTATGGCTAGTAATTTCATCACCTAATTTATGCCAAGATTATTTTCTCGGTTATGAAAAAGTCCTGCAATTTGAATTTTCAAGAAATTTTTCTTAAGATAATTTAGTCATTGAAAATTGTATAAAAAAGTAAATGGCATATGTTATGAGGAAAACTTTTTTGATTAGGGTACAAATAAGTTTTGATACATGTGAGCAATTTCTGTGTAATTTAAACACAAATGAGCATTATTGAAAATGTCATGCTTTTTTGCTCCAATTTAAAACAACTTGCTTTTATCATCCTAATTCTGTTTGCCAAAAAAGCTTATATTTAGATTGATCTATTTCAACCAGGGATGACTATATCATTTTGATAACAATCTAAACCACAAATCCAATACCAACGATGAGTTACATCAAAATTCCAATGTTTAATGATGTATACTAAGTGAAATAGGTTTAAGTCTGGGACAATTTAGCTATTCCCTTCTAAAAATATAATACAGTAAAATAATATAGGCTTCAGCAAATAAGTAAATTAAGCTTAAATAAGCAAAAATTATCGGACAATCTATTCTAGATATGCCGTAGTACATCACAAGTTATCAATTGAGGGTAGGAAATATAACGCATCCCAAAAAGTGCCAATTAAGCTTTACTCTGAACGAAGTGCCCTGCATTGGAATCAATATCTGTAGTTAAACATCATTATACATTCGATAACACCCGATCTGCAAATGCTATCATCAGTAGTGCGCATTTTCATATTTTTACCAAATAGTTGAGAGCCAATATATAAGCACCTTTCAAAACAGGTTTTTAGCTACGTACTTGATCATGAATTATTTTCCCCAGAAGGGGAATCCATGTCGATTGTGACAATATCAGGGGAGGCACTCCCGTCTGCTGATGACGACTCATGGCCATTTTTAGAAATTTCATTTGTGCTTGGAATCTGCTTTTTCTCTGATGATTCTTCCGCTTCATCATCATCATTTAAACTCGGCCACGCTGCCGCAGATGAATCAGATGTCGACTTTTTCAATCGCTCATCTAGAGCTTTAATAGCTTTGTTCCTATCAGAAAAAAAGGCAAACAATGATAATAATTCAAACATAAAGAGAATATAGAAGTTTATTCTTGTTGTCTTCTCGGTGCCATTTAATGACTTATTACTTATCGATTTTAATCGGTAAGTATGTTGATAGGTATTTGTCTGTTTGTCTGTCTGTTAGATACACGCGATATCTTAGAAAGCGAGATTGAATCTGCTCCAGATTTTGCATGTGCATTCATCATATGTCGGACCAGAAGTCTATTGATTTTGGATGAATTATATCGTATAATTAGCGAGTTATTAATTAGTTAATTAATCCAATTACTAATAATTGGACACAAGGTGTCACTATGGAGTAAGAGTGCTGTTTTGGTGGATCCCCTAACTTTCGATCAATAAGTCTTCGGTATCTGACCGATATTCTCGTTTATAAGGTTTGGTAGAAAGACTATTAAAATCAACACAATTATTGAGATAGGCCTATTTGATAATATATGGATCAATTCAATGGCAAACATAAAAAATCAGCCAAAAGAGAATCTTGTACGCAATTCAACAAAATAAAATGGATTTAACTCATATTGCACACCACTAGGTTTTTATATGACGATGAACTACTTGAATATTCCAGACGTGTTAGCACAGTGATAAACTGGGGCGCATGGTTGCAAATACGTAGCAAAACACTCACCTTCGACGTTCTGCATCTAAAGCATTTACTCCAGAAAGAGTTAATGTAATATTACTGGGTGCTCCTACATCATATCTGTAAACAGTCTTTCTACATATTCGTAGCTTCAGCAAAAAGTTGTATATAATGTCAGAAATCAGCCCAATGGGCCCTTGGAATGCAACAGGGAAAAAATATTTAAAAGCGAACTTTTCTGACTGATCACCTCTTCCTCTACTGTGATTTTGGTAGAATCGTAAATAAATCCAACCAGTAATTGCTCCAAAGGAATAAGCAAGCAAGTAACTTCCCCTGAAGAATCCTGTTAGCTTCAATGGAATTAATACAAGGAATCCAAGCAACGGCACGTCTTTCACTTCTAATCCTATTGCACCAATGACCAAATGATCTCCATAAGCTTGCTTAATTGCAACCAGAGCACCACCCAGCAACCCTCCTATTCCATTGACATGCACAGCAAATAAAAAGTCGATATTGAAAGTCAACATGTACAGAAACAGGTAAAACAGGGCGGAAAGAACAGCTGATGAGACACAAACTATTCCATAATAAATTGATAGTTTCGTAGTTCCAAAAGATCCTTCTAATGCATTGCTACTGACGACAACAAAGGCAATGCTACAAATAAACAAAATTGTGTTTGTTTCAATAAATGGATGCGTAATCAAAGTCCATATCCAAAAATTCGGTGGAATCAGATATCCAGGTGTGACGCCAAGAGGTTTGAGAGGATCAAATAAAAAAGAAAGCATAAAGAACATGCTTAGTAATAAACATCCAATCTTCGCAGTTATACCAAGATTGTAAACTACTCCGGCAAATGACAAATGTAGATTTGCCAACGATCGCGTATCCATCATGTCTTAGTTTACAGAAAATTTTCTGCAATGCAAAAAAATAAGCACAGGAAAATTTAAACAATAGGCCTATGAAATATTTTACCACAAATAATTACTATAAAGATAAAAACGAAAACCTGTTAACATAAGAGAAATAAAACATGAAAAGATGCAAAAAAGAAGGCTGTCTATCATACTACTGATCAATTCGGACAAAATACTATGTTTCTTAGCACAGTATAGCAATAGGAACGCAAAGAAAAAATCGATTACACTTATGACTTGGTTACTCTACCTCAAAATTTACTGCTCACTTCAAAATACATCCAAGGTGTCTAATTTATATTTGTGTCATTTTGTATCTGAATGATATATACTTTGGCAAGCCCAATGACATGATGGTGACGTCATAATGACGTAATTTTTGGATGACTTGGTCAGGTGAGGATTAAAAAAAACATAGCCTATGCGAAATTCGTTATGCTACGCCCACTGGAAGTATTTGGGGTATCAAACTTTACTAGACCCGAAAATTCTTCTTATTCTATTTTTCATGCCTTTAGTTTTCTGGTTTATCATCTGTTAAATGTTCTGTTTCACTTGTTCTATTTGTCCATAGATTTCTTTGAAATATTCCAATTGAAATTTTATTGATTCATATTTCATCGGTAGAAGGTAACGGTACCGGTACCGTACTCCATGCTGCCATGTATAGTTATGTTTGATACATACAACCTATGCATGGGTAAAATTCTTCTTCCCCCTTTTATCATGTTTCATAATTTTCTGTCTACCTCTATCTCTATGGCCGGTTGCCAGTCCATGTCAGGTATGCGATTAGTTAGCCAGTTATTTGTTTTCGGAGGCATGGACTTGATGGTGGAGGAAGCCGTACGGTACGGTACCGGTATCGGGTACCGTAACCGACCAACGGACAGGTACCGGTACCGTACGTGAACCACCCTAGCTCCCATTCATTTCTCCTGGCTCGCCATTCCGCCTTACGCGTATCATAGTACTCGCGTTGCCTAATACAGAAATACCAGTTCTCAAGTTTATGTTTTAACCTTGATCAAACAGGTAATAATTCCCATGGCTTTCCAAACTAAAGATAAAGTTATGTGTCCTAAACCTACGCACCAGCGCACCGACACTGTCGATGCCTAAATCAGCTTTGGTCAAACGGGTTTTGGGTCAAAGGTACGTGTTTCGATGCTGCCACCTTCTGCTCCGAGGTTTCGGTTTATCCATAGTTATTTCAAACACGAGACCGCAACCGGGCAGTTGCTTCGCGTATAACCACAGAGAATGATAATAGAGAATTCACTCGCGGGTTCAAAGGTCGTTCCACATGAGTAAAGAGGTACGGAAGTAGGAAATGCGATGTTTTTCTCAGCGCGATCTATTTCAGCGTTGGCCGTTTGGTGTCAAGATGTCGCGGGTTCGTATCCAGCCAATCCATCAGTTCAGGGTCATGATTCGGTAGTTTGCTTTCAGAATTAATAAATATGTTTCTTTACTGTATACTATCAATATTGTATTGGCCTCTGCGATTGAAAACCACTGTATTTTACTCTATTTTTATTGGACTGCTATCTTACCATTTATTCTCATACTAAATCGATGCTAAAACCGTTATCTGTCTGAAATCAGCCACATAGCCTAATTAGTGAGAAAAAAAAGGAGTGTTGATTAATTAAAAGTCAAAAGCATTACCACGTTTAGATTGTCAATTTGCACAATCTCTGTAATTAATTATTTTTCACATACCCAGCCTAACTCTAGTTTATTACTCAGTAACTTATAAGTTATCTTACTTACTGTTATTCATCTGTAATGGCTACTAACGAGATACATGGAATTGTTGAGTTCCTTTTTGAGGATTTCGATAAAATCGAAGAATTTCCTCATTCGGAAAGCATCAACACAAGTAAAAAATAGAAGAACTCCGGAAGTTTCCGATGATCAAGTTATAAAATTGGTCAATAACGTAAGATCCGACTTAGAGCTAACATTTGAAGGCTTGAATATTATAAAAGCCCTCATGCAAGTCTTTGCCAGAGAGAAAGGAGCTGACCAAGTCATGCTAAAATTCTCTCAATGCTCACACCTCTCGCCAAAGATGTTCGCTGGGCATACGGAAAAAATTTTTACAGCGAAAGCCATGTTGGAAATAACCAACTACATTCTCAAGCCACTGGATGACAATGTAACATTTGCCACCCCGAAGAATTTATTTTGCGAACAGGTCGACAGTTATGAAAAAGGCATAATTGAGTACATTGCAGGATTACCCTGAAAAAGGGGTATATTAAATTTGCAGAATCAGCAAAAGCCCTGGACTCCCTCTGTGCAAAAAAGGCCCTCCCATTCAACAATCCCATTACTGCAGTTCCCGGAGGGAAAGCTAAAGTATCCAACTCAAGCATACTTGTTACTATTAGAAGAGGCTTACCAAAAAGTAGCGCAGGAATGTGCTAACAGCCACATCTTATAGACTTTGCAGGAATTGAAAATAAGTTAGAAGAGTCTCAAAACTTTGATACCAATGTCAATGACATGCTACCCTATTGCAATGGACAAAAAGAAAGTGTCAAGATAGCAAGATATGTAACGAGTTTATTTATAAGAGTGCTTTCACATGCATATGCAAAGAAAGTTGTTTTACAAATTATTCAAAAAGAGGGCCCCGGGGCTGGTGTCTGTTCTAGAGGTACTAGACCAGATTTTGGCAAGAATCAGCAACAGTCATATTTTCAATTAATTTTTTTTAGTAACTGCTAAATAAAAAAGCTTGAGGTACTTGATTGAGTCTATTGTTTAATTATTGTGTGGGCCGGGTTATCTCAGTGTTTCTCTTATGTACCAAACAAAAAGCACCCAATTAAATTTGATTCGACTAAAATACACAAAGTCTCAAATACACCAGGCAATAAACTGCATCATCCACTTTAATCTTCTGCCATCCAAACTTGTTATTTGATTGCCATGCTATTATGAAACAGCACTAATAAGTTTCCGAGCAGGCTGTGAAGTCCAGTTAATTTAGACCATAATTCAAATTTGACGAAGAGTTCGAAAACAGGCTACAACAAACCAAACTTTTACAAAAACTTTATTGAGTCTTACTGAATTTAATTATCTATTGAAAATACTCTAGTCAATTCAATGCTTAGTTTTTTTAGAAAAATTTGAATGGGAATATTACGATAAAAATTTGACTCTGATTAATTCAACCAAATTTTGCGCACAGCTACGATATAAAAAAATGTTGGACTTCCGACTCCAAAGCCTTGTGTGTATGGTCAAATGTTTCGAACAAAAGACCAATATTGATTTTACGGCAACAATCCACGATATTATTAAGAGAAAAAGCATAATCTGCAAGTTCTAAATATCGTAAGTCATGATTGCAGCCGAAATTATGCTAATGTTCATTTTTTTGATGGCAATGGATGTTCACATATGTCTGTCCAGGCATTCGCTTTCCCATAGGTTGTATTACCACCTTTGACCTTCTTGATGATCTTTCTTTGCGAAATTTGGGTTATTCCATAGGATACTTGAGATATGTCTGGATTGCTTGATCTAGATCCAAGTTGTCTCTATGAATGTGATGCTGCGGATTAGATATATACATGGCTAGATAGATACCCATACAGTTCAGCCCCCCAAAAAATCTCACCAAATTTCCGAAGAAAGCTTCCAAAACATCCTGATTAAAGCAGTGCAAAGACACATATTCCAAACCATTTGCCAGAAGGTATTTGCACATCTCTATGAAATTGTGTGTGGTGAATTTCAGTCCCTCTAAGGTTGGGCGAGCCAGAAAACTCTTTTCATCTCCACCATGCTCATTCTATAATTGTTTTCAAGAATAAATAATGCATGAAAATAACAATAGCCAACCCCAAAATGACATCTCTTATTTCCAATGTTATGGCATAGTAATATAATATAATCTTCAAATGCTATGGTTGTAGATCTTTTTAGAGATTGTGATCATATTGAATAAAACCATACAAAAAATACAACTCACTTCCCACTCCAACAGTGAACCTATGAAGTCATTCTTCAACCAAGACAGTCTATCATCGTCGACGCATCGTATGGGGCAATTACAGGAACAGTTGACAATTTCATACCATCTGAATGGACGATACATGCATAACTGACACAAAAATAGGGAATTTTTTTTCTTTTAAAAAATGACCGACTTACTTTGCAAACATCAAAACAAATTTGGCAGTTCCATTCGTCCCATTCATTGTTTTTAAACATTGGCCGACGTTCCAGCTCAGCACATCAGTTGCAAGATTGACTTTCATCTGAAAATAAAAAAGATTTTCCCAAATCACTCTGTATTAAAAAAATTAGTTATTGAAAATCCTGTTACCACAGTCAAGGGCATTGGCAGCGAATCAAAATTTTAGTTGAAATAAGTCCATTTCAGGGATTTCATCAGCGTGTCGTGCGGCCAAACCAACACAATTAGACTATTAGCTTACCTTACTATATGGTGTTAACTCTACATGTGATGGACTCAGTCTGGTACGGCCAAGGACCTGAACAGATTCCTGCATATAAAGATCTTTAATATGCCTCCACACAATGTCCTGGCCACCTCGGCGCATATGCTTCTTCCCACCAACTTTTGATGCATATAACGAGTTTCGAACAGTCTGAACAAATGAAAAAAAGACTGTTGAAAATTAACGCATCATGGTAAACATTATACAATGCCATTTGCCCATTTCTTTTATTACCTTGATCAAATGTGATGGATCAGAACATAGGTATATGTTCCTGTCAGAGTCGCATATATTAGGAGCAAACAATACACCATCACAAGGCAATTCCAAGTTGCCACTTAAAAGTTGGAAAAAGCGACGGTTGGTACTGTGACCATCTGCGATTACAGCAAGGATCTTTACGCTTCGGCTCTCACATTCAATTAAAAGTTCCCAAAACACCCGACAAAGCTTGGAGGCTGGGGAGTTACGGGTTGCATACCACGCCAAAGGAATCGACAGATCTCGCTTCACGGTTCTAACGTAGAATACTGAAGAAACATGTAGAACATTAATACTGCGTTACATAAAAAGTCTACCGTAGTAAAACCCCAGTAACAACTTACCTAAAATGTGTGAAGCAAGCTGGTCATTATTGCCATTCCTTGCCATTTCTTTGTCCACGAAACCAATCAATTTGCCGTTACGACAGACCAGATTTTCTCTAACTGTATCAGAGATTCATATATATGACAATGATGTAAGATTGTAAATAAAAATTAAAGTGAGCTTACCCTTCATCTCATCGAGAGCAACAAATCCAATCAATGAACCCTTGTCTTTGATGACTCTCTCCATTTCTTTCAATGCCAGTTTGTTAATCCCAGATTGTGGTGGAATGACATTTCTGCAAAAATAAAAAATAAATCAGCAATCGCGAGTCACTGACCAATGTATGATATAATAAGTAGACAGATAATAGACAAAATATTTTTTTAAATAGACTGAAAGAAAACAACATGGCCAAATGGTTATCAAAGTTAATTTAAATTCACCATAGTACACCCCAACAATTGTCAGAAGCATTACATTTACCTGTAGCGATTCAAAGTGCTTGGGGAAGGCAGAGTCAGCACCTGACTTGTTCGCAGATGATCATAGGCAGAAGGCGATCTGCAATAGAGTTCCATAGCCCAACGAATCACATCTGGATGGTACCGACGTGAAGAGGGGTGAGCATTGGAGTTGGCAAGCTGCTGACCAAAAAACATTTGCTGCCAAGTATTCAAGATGGAACTTTCAGAAGCGAAAGTAGCCTGTGAAAATATTCACAAGTCAGTCATACAATTAATCTCTTGAGTCTAGTACATTAAAAAT